GACGTATATTCAGTGGATTTTGGGTAGAATGTCCTGTAAATGTCAGTCAGACCCAATTGTTCTAGAGATTTGTTTAAGTCCATTATTTATTTATTAATTTTCTGTTTGGAGGATCTGTCTTGTACCGTCAGTGGGGTGTTGAAATCTCCGGTGATTATGAAGTTGCTATTAATCTATTTGCTTAGCTCCAGTAAGATTTGCTTTATGAATTTGGGTGCACCTAAGTTGGGGGCATATATATTTAAAATTGTTATCTCTTTTTGTTGAAGTGTTCCCTTCACCATTATATAATGACCCTCTTTGTCTTTCACTACTTTTGTTGGTTTAACAACTAAATCGTCTGAAATTAGAACTGCCACGCCAGCTTTATTTTGGCTTCCACTTGCTTGGAATACTGATCTTCACCCTTTTATTTTTAGTCTATATGCATCCTTTCAGGTTAGATGTGTTTCCTGAAGACAGCATATACTTCACCTGTATTTTCTTATCCATTCAGCCAGCCTATGTCTCTTGAGTGGAGAGCTAAAGCCATTCACATTTATTATATTATTCACATTTATTATTTATCAGTTCTCTAACTGATAGGTAAGGTAGATTACTGTTCATTCTGTAGGGTTGGATGTTGGTTGCTTGATGTTTCTCCTTGAGCATTGTATCCCTTGTACGAGTATCTGGCTGAGATCTACGCTGTGCATAGAGTGGCTTCGTTGATGTTGAATATCCGCTGATAGGCGAGGTGGCTTATAGGTATATATGTGTTTGCACGTGCGTCACACGTCAAGAATAGTCAGTAGCTCTCTTCTTGTAGGCGAGTCTTGTCTTGGGAAATCTCTGAGACTTAGAGATGTCCCGTTAGGCTTGTCAGCAATGTCTCTTATTTAGACCATCCCGCTTCATTAATACTGATGCCCTTGCTGGAAGGTGTTTATGCAGGGGAATCAAGATTCAGCTGGGATTGTTGTGATTTCAGAGAGTTGCGATTGTTGTGTTTCAGAAGAGGTGAAATGGGGCCCCAGTCATCTTCCTGCCTTGTATAAGTCTCATTAGGGAAGTACTGGTATTCTTCGAATGGCTTCTTGTATGATTCACTTGCTCTTTCATCTTATACAGCCCTCTAGAAAGGCCTCGTTAAGGGGTGATCTGTGTAGCTGCTCCTGATGGCTCCTGACATCTGCATTCGCTGAATCCTCTTGACCAATTGGATATGTCTTTCTCTTGTTGGCCGTAAGTTATTTAGTAAAAGCGATTCCGGTATCCCCATGTACGGGAGTCCTGACAGCGTAGGGCTTCTTGACTTGTAGTATTTCCATTAGGCAACTGCTGATGATGATGCTGAGCAACAGCGTTTTGGCTTGGGATATATTTCCTCTATTTTATTGGATTTTCCATGAATCTCTCCATAGCTGTATCAACCCCTGAGTGTTTCTTCTTCTTCTGGTAACCCCGTGCTCACTGACATAGGCATCACTAAGTAAAAAGAGGAATTAGAGTTTCTCCCATAATCCCAATCTCTTGTAAGGCTTTGCGCTCTACATCTCTGATGCTAGGCTTTTATCGCTCGCTAGGTTCTGGTGGACTGACGTTATTGTATATTGCAGGCGTGTTTCAGTCTTCATGACTCTTGAGATTCTTTCTTGTTCATGTCTTAGGTCTAACTTTCGTGCAATTGAGTACTTTCCTACTGGTTATTCTTGTGTAGCGCTGAATTCGGATCTCTTTCCATCTTATATCCGATTTGGTTAGTGTAAAACATAATTTTTCTTCATTGTGTCGAAGGTTCTTTATAGGGAAATAATTCTAGTAAGTTTCCTAGCGATCTCTGAGGCTCTTTATGCTGTTTCTTTGTGTTGGTTATGAGTTGCTTCCTGCAGGCTCGTTGAATTTTACTGGAAATGATCCACATTTGAATTTCTTCTGTCATTTGGCTTGCCTGATTTTGGCTTGGTGTACTGTTCTTCTAGCGCTGGTGCCCTCTTTGGTGATGTTTCGTTTGTTCATGCTTAGTCTATTTCTCAGAGTTGCTGTTTTCGCTTGTGTTGCTTCTCTATGGTCTGACAGTTGTAGTGATTGGGATCATATGTTAGATATTTCCTTGCTAGGTGGTAGTTTCGATTTGCATACTGGTAGAGAGGCCAGCAGGGCTTCTGGCCTGTCAGAGACGCCTTGAGTGAATGTAGTTTCGCCATATACAGGGCATAGTAGCGTGTGTCTGTGTGTGTCTGTGGTGAGGGTAGAGGATGTCGACCCATCACACTTGTTCAGTTGACAAATTATATCCCATCTGTGGCATTTTCGTTATCCAACGACCAGGCTGAGTCAATCTGATTCATTATGGAATGTCCTGTTTGCTAAGGATGCTGTGAAAAGGGTGTGCACGGATGCCTCTCTGTCTGTAGGCTGGCACTGCTTGGAGACAGGCTACACTAGTTTCGTTTGATATTGTTTCTGTATTATCAGCGCTTGTTTCTGTAAGAGATGTGAGGAACTCATAGTGCTCTCACGGTGGTGGCTGCGTATAGCCCTGGACTTGAGGCTGTATTTTACGCTTTTTCTTCTATCCTCTTCGAGTTGAGGGCCCGATGTCTAGAGTATGGAGATGAGCTGGGTGGAGCTGTGTGTAAGCCTGCCTCAGCCTCTACATAGATAGTAAGTGACAGGTAGTGTGCAGAAGTCTGTCTCGCTGGCTTGTCTCTATCGAAATGGTGAGACTGATATAGAAGCAGGTGCTATATTGGGCTGGAAATTACGTGCTGCAATCAGTCAAAGAAGTCTGCGTGATTGGGTGGGGCGTTCGAGGACCCTATAATACGTCATCGAGAGTAGGAGAGAACCTTTTATGTTCCAAGATATACAGGCTTAGGTGGAGAAGTTTAAAAGACTGTGGGAAGAAACTCATATTGGATATTCTATTTTGTTTAAAATAGGACGGCTTATTATTTATTCATGTAAAGGTTTACCCTGACCAGCCCGGAACAAGGTCTTGAAAATTCAAACTTTATAAGTCTGTCTACATTCTTTTCCATTATGTTGTGAATAATACATATGAGCTTCATTTGAACCTAATTTAAGGATAATTCAGTGACCTAATTACATTTATAACACATCGTTGCATCAAT